TCTCTCTCTCTCTCTCTCTCTCTCTCTCTCTCTCTCTCTCTCTCTCTTTTCCACCTGTGAAACTGGAAACGCGCGTCTTTATAGACGCTCAGATTGTGTGGGCAGAAATATTAGGTGGGATGTTTGAATGGAGAGGAGCGAGGCACCGACACCAGACATCGCTCTCTCTCTCGCGCGCTCACACTCGGGCCAAATGTCGGGCCGCCGGGTTGGCTTCTGTCTCAGCGATAAGAAGCGCAGGAGGATGAACCTGGACGCCTTTGCGGTCTTCTGTGAGTAAGTTGAAGCTGACTTTTTAATTCATATCTGGTAACAGTGAATGGGCCCCCCTCAGGTTCTCATAATGGGGCCCTTCTTAAAAGATATTCAAAGGGGTCCCACAGCAAAAACGATACATATTAATTTCATTGTATTTTACGCAGTAAATATCTCAGTTTAACTCTTGTACTAACACCCTCACTTGAATCTAGTGTACACAGTTGTGCAATCCTTTATCAACATGAATGATTGATGAGCTATATTGCTATACAGGACAAGCCCCATCCATTGCCAACCCTGTTCAGGTGACTCCTGCTATCATCTCCATTCAATTATAAACATTTATTGCAGGGGCCATGGAGTGGAAGTGGTGGAGGTAAGTGTTTTTCTCTTCTTCACATATTAACATGAAATCAATATAATCTAAAAGATGTATAATGAAGGCACGAGGGAAAGGTGGAGGGAAAGTGTGTGGTGGAAAATGAGGAAGTTAATCTGTGTGTGTGTGTGTGTGTGTGCATGTGAAGACGGCTTGATGTCTGTCGCATGATTTTCTTTGTCTCGATGTCAGGACACACACACATACATAGAATTCTATTCTAGAGTAAGCAGTTTTAGTATTACAGTAGTGGCAGTAGTTTGGGAACACTGTGCACACACCCACACACACACACACACGTGTGTCATGTACAGATGCCCACAACTCTAGTAGTCCTTGTCACAGCCACCTGCAGCCCCTCCTGCTTCAATCTGCTTGGGGCAAAACTGGTAAACAATGGCAGCCTGGTTGTAACTGCTCAGACATTTCCCTGCATGTGAATATCTGCACAGGAGCATGAGGGACTTTTACACACGCAGGCACAAATATCGGAAACAAAAACAGTCAAATTAATAGAAGAATCACATCAGTTAGGGGGGGGGATCCTTTGCTGTCAGCCTCGATACTGCATTTAATACTGTCGGACTGCGTTGTTGTGTAAAACTGCAGCAGTGTGAATTATGGTGGTGTACATTTCAGGAGCAGGAGTGAAAAATATGAAAAACAATGGTGTCCATAGTTCAGTTTAAGTAAAGAGGCAGTGGCTTTCAGACTTGTTTTAGGTGACACTCTTTATACATGAAGATAGCATAAACAGGGTCTTTACATTTATATTCCATAAAACTCCCAGAACTTTATGCTGAACTCATTCACGCCATGTATTCAAGGATCATCTATTCTCATTATGCCTCACACAGCGATGCACAAGGAAATTTAGTTGTGGCCCATTTGTTACACAACAAACACAGGATAGTGCGTCTTTTGAATTTGCATCATAAGGAATGTAAACATGCAGCAACAAAGGCACTAGTCTGGGCAGATAATATGGCCGACATCTTCACATTAATACAATTCAACATGAGGAAAACAGCCTATAATCAGGGTCACACCTGCTTTTCTTGCTATGACTCGTCTGTAATGACAGAGGCCAATCTTACCTTTTGTTTTATGGCGCAGACTAAGAGTCGAGACTCCTTAATGTAGAATATTACTTTGACTCTAAACAAGAGTCGGTTTGCTTTTCTTCAATACACGTTGGTGACCCAATCATGTGAGGAAAAAAGTTTCATTTACCACCGGACTGCACACAATAGTTTATTGTAGTCATTTTCATACATTTCCAAACATTACCCAACTTCAAGCAATATCAAAAGTGTCAGCTCCACTATGTAGGATGTAAGAGTGTGTTTTGTTTTTTTCGTCCGTCAGATTGACCTCACTCAGCCACTGGTGCACCAGGGACCCTTCGACATCATCGTTCACAAGCTGTCGGATGTCATCGTGGACGCCGAGCACGACAGCCAATCGCAGCAGGTCCTCGCCAACTTCCAGGTAAGGATGAGGCCTTTTTGAGAGGTATTTTTATGCTGCTGCTTGCTTCTTAACGAGCCATTTATCAGTCATTCCTGCTGAAATGAATCTTGTGTTCCACATTGCAGAGCTATGTGTCGGCTCATCCCAGCACAGTGCTTCTGGACCCGCTGCCCGCCATGACCCAGCTACTAGACCGCTTTGCCTCTTACCAGATCATGAGCGAGCTGCACAAGTCACTCCGAGGTGAAGTGCAGCTCCGTGGTGTATGTTGTAGGTTTTCTGCTGCTTGTAGATATATTTATTGACCCTTGCCTCTCCTTGTTATATGCTGTTCCAGCAGACTGGAGCATCTGCAGTCCTCCTTATCTAGAGATCCACAGCGCCGGTGACCTGCCTTCCATTCAACAGGCTTTGATGACCCAGGGCCTAAGCTTTCCTCTCAGTCAGTTCACTCAGCCTTTCACATACTTATTTAGTTCTTATATGTTAAATTGAATTACTTAAGGACGTTTAGATTAACTGTGAGCTAACCACCTCTCAGCTTCTTTGTGTCTGCAAGTGAAGCCTAAAAGCTCATCTGCTGCACTTAAACAATCATACAGACGTATTGGTCGGATTATATGGAAGTAGTATCCTTCTTTCCTTTTTGCTTCCGCCTCGTGAAGTATGATAGGAACCCACAGTCACTTTCTCTTTTTCTCCCCAGTTTGTAAAACCCGAGTGGCCCACGGCTCACTTTCCCATGAGGTGAGTGGGTTTGCTTGAACTTTGTGCTTCACGGTTGTTTTCTCTCCATTCATCGTTTAATGTCTGTGCATTATCTGTGTGAGTTGCAGATGTCTCTGATCTTCAGTGCAGGAGGTCTGGCTGACATCCGTCCTCCCTGTGTTCTCCAGAGCTTCGTCAACCACGGAGCTGTTCTGCACAAGGTGTTCGTGGTGGGAGACAGACACTTCTGCGTAGAGAGGCCTTCGCTCAAGAACTTCCCCTCAGGTCCCTGTGGTCAGTCTGCACCTCATCGACAAAATATATTAGATATTTACTTCCCTTTTCTTTCTTCCCACCTTTCTGTCCTTTCCTTTTTATCCATTTGCCATCCTTCCTTGTCCTGTACTTTTTCTCCTTCCTTTTCCGGCTGTGTCTTTCCCTTTCCTTCCCTTTCCTGTCTTGTCCATTCCTTTCCATCAACTTGCGTCCCTTCCTTGTCCTTTACTTTCTTCTCCTTTCCTTTCATGTCCCATCTTTTCAGTTCTGTCCCTTCACTGACTTGTCCTCTCCTTTCTTTTTTCCTGTCTACTCCCTTCCTTTCATTTCCTTCCCTGCCATCTACTATGTTTTCCTTTCCCTTTCATACCTTTCCTTCCCTTCCTTGTCCTTTCCTGCCATGTCCTTACTGTGTCTTTCCTTTGTCCTATGTTTCGCTACCTTGTTGTTCTTTGCTTTGTCTGTTGCCTGTTTCCACCCATTTGTGATTTAACTCTGCATCCAGAGAGGAAGACCATCTTCTTCAACAGCCATCAGGTGTCCAAACCGGAGTCAAACTCTGATCTCACAGCAGTGAGTAATAATACTTTATAAATACCCATTCTCTCGCGTTGATATCCTTACCTAAGGGCCAATATAACGGCAAAACTAAGGTGCACACACAACTTATAAATAGTTTGACATAGTCGTCTACATTCACAGGTAGAGCCTCACCCATTTGGCACCCGACTGGGCTGAAATCAACCCTAAAAATGTCGCTTTCCCCCCCTGATCTCTAAGCTGGACGAGCAGATGCCGTGCCTGCCTCCTCCCAGCTCCGAGGCCGTGGCCGCTCTGGTCAGAGAGCTCCGGGTTCAGCTCGGCATGGCCCTGTTCGGCGTTGACGTCATCGTCAGCATTCACACGCACACCCTCACCGTCATCGACATCAACATCTTCCCAGGTACTGCAGCGGCACACGCACACACACACGACAGACTCACTGAGGTGCACTGATACACTCTTCTCTCTACCAGGCTATGAGGGAGTGCCCCAGTTTTTCTCCTCACTGCTCAGCCACATCAAGTCAGTGTTGGACAAACAGGCGTCTGCTGGCCCCCCGGCGGCTGATCCTCCTGAGTCAACACAGACCACAGGAGGTCCATCTGCTGCAACAACCGGCCTTTAAGTCACCTCAGGAAGACGTCGTGCTTTGTACGTGTCTCATCAGCTTCCCAGGGCAAGTGAAGTCATTTGGCATTGGCTTCTTCACTGTTCTGTTGGGACCAAACTCAGCCTTTTCCAAGACTTTGCTTCCATTAAAATACGTTATTTATATGTAGTCCGTGACATGAAGTTAAACTGTAAATGACACTGAGAATGTTGTGCCTTTAAGTGATTTTACTCTATTTACAAACCATAAGGTGACACATAAGGGTTGAATACACTTTCTGTTTATTGATTGAAGCATAGAAGAAGATACAGCAGGCACAAAATACAGCAATCTGATTGGCCAGTAATATTACAAATGGTGGTTTGCTTAATATTGTTTTCCTTTGTTATTCGAAATGTCCTCTATGCCCTTATGTGGACCCCCCTCCCCCCAGAGACATTTCCTTAATCTTTCTTGCTGGCTTGTAAGATACATTTTGTGGAAAAACGTTTGCACTAATATAGAAAAAAGAAAACTACAGTACATGTTTTTTTTTCTTCATTTATTCTCAAGTGAACAAACACCTCATCTTTGGAATAGACGGTAATGAGCTCATCAGTGTTGACTGACGATGTGTGTTATCACCAGGTGTTTACACAAGTTGACCGACCGGCGACTTTGCCTGGCGTTCAAATACATACATGTTCTGTAAATCTTGGCTGTGTAGAAAAAGAGAAGATTGTATCTGCTATACGAGCACTCTATGATGCACTTTGATAACATATTAAAATACATGAAATAATTCATTATTTGGCTAATTATTGCATTCACATGTGCTGTAGTCTACATTGTGTTATTGCAGTAAGTGGGCCTCCATTGACCCTGTAAATCCTGCACTGTGTGCATGTCCACCCTGTGTCCTCTTGGGGGCGCTGTTGCTTCATATTTCCTATGACCTTGGCTTACAGACCTCGATATCTGATATTTACAGGAATGACATGAGGGCCACGAAATCTGTGACGGAACACCACTGAGCATTTATCGACGCTATAGTCAGCGTTGCTGTTACCGAAAGACAACAAAATGGCTTTTAGTGACTCCCTCTTCCCTCGTCTCCTCCTTGGCTTGTTAAGATAAGAGTGCAAAGCTGGCTGAGAACCTGGAGTGACACTTTTAGACCTTGTAAGCTCTAAGTACATTGCATCCTGTGGCCACACGCTATCCACGCTCAAGACAAACTCAACATCTGACCCGAGTGTCAGAAATGTCTACGTCCTCCGTGTTCTGTCCGTGTCACCCTGGGTTCGTCACAAACAGTCTGGTTTTAACAGTGCGAGAGCCAAATGAAACACAATCCGTTTCTACTTTATCGTCAAAGGAACTGAGAGGAAATCATGACTTAACACCTGTGTAGAAACATCAGTAATACCTATCTTTAACAGTCAGAACAGCAGGAACAGCTTACACATAGTTATTGCACAAAATATATATTGAAGTACACATATTACTTAGAGAAGGGAATCTGTTTTTTTCCCATCAAGAACACACCATCGAGGATGATTCCTTCAGAGAAGAGGAAAGCTGCTTGCCAGTGTGTGTGCATGACTCACATTTCAGAGAGGATGGTGTTTGTATGGTTGGCAATCGGCAGTCAAAAGTAACATTTGAATAAAAAAGTGCTGGAAGCGTTGCATCTATGGCGTTTTACAAATCACCTGTCTACCATACAAACAGCATTTATAGGTACTGCGACAGGGACGCGGGTGGAGAGGGACACGAGGAGCTGTTCAGATATTCTGGAAATAATAGCGTCTCTTTTTCCTCAACGCGAGGAAACGGAGACAGCCTTTTCCAGGTAATATGAAAGCACAAATCAAACAAGTATGTACAGTTTCTAGTAATGGCCTTTTACAGATTCACGTCCGGAAGACATATCTCTGTGTGCTCTGGGGATCTGAAGGCTGTGAAATGGAAAATGTGTGAGCTGAATGTGTGACTGTGAATGGGTGAACGGGTTTTGTCAGTCTGCTGTGTGTGTGTATGTGTGTGTGTGTGTGTGTGTGTTTTATCCTCTGCGAAGCTCCCTCAGCTCTGCAGCGACTTTGCGCAACTCTGCTTCAATCTCCAGCAGCTCCTGTGGGCCGAAGATATGAGAATGTTTGATCCAGCAAAACAGGGCACACTGTGCTTTAGATTACAGCCTGTAAATAACAGCGAAAATATTATTAATTTATGGTGTACCGGTGGAAACTGCTGGATACCTGCTGGTAGGTAGAGTAACACAGAAATAACTCAACTTGTAATTACTCTTTTAACTCCCTGGTACATATGGAATATGCTTCAGAAAGGGTTAAAACTATAATAGCAACATAAATCTTCACAATGGAAAAAAACAAGATCTGTAGAGTGTTGCATTCTGGGTATGAGGATGCAAACTTCACTGTTGCTAGTGAGCCATGGCTAATTCAACTTGTTGTTTAGCACACCTGTATCTGTTCATGTATCAAATTATGTTGATTACTGTTCAAGAAGTCTGTCAGTAACATGTTACCTACATATTTGTCCAGGAATGGAGAGGCTAAGCCCGTCTTCCGGGGTTCCCTTCTTGGACATTTTTGTGAAAAGAAATATGTACGGTAATATGTACGGTAGTCAATGGCGAAAGACAAATATTTTTTTGAACCCGTTTGTATTGTCCCATGAATTACACATTTGATGTTTGTCAATTTAAAAGATCATTTTGAACGTCAAGCAAGTCGCAGTTTTGGGATTTGTCGTAGAATCATTCAGTCTTGTGTGAAACCGCTTCGTAAACTACATCTCGTCTCGTGCAATATGCGTCACCAGAACGGCCGTTACCTTGGCTTGCTAGCCAGCTAGCTAGCTAACATCATATGTGTGTAATTCATGGTACAATTCAAACAGGCTCAAATACATTTTTTGTCTCTAGCCATTGACTACCGTACATATTTTTTCCAAATGAAGGAACCATGGGGGTAAACTGGAAGGGGCGGGGCTTCGCCTCTCGAGTACATACTAATACTTATTTGTGTCAACAAACACAGTCACATATCACTTGCACCAACTTACCTCCCCTTCATCTTCTTCGGCATCACCCTCCTCGTCGTCTTCCTCCCCCTGCCCCTCCCCGTCCTCTCTAACGTATTCATCCTCGTCTTCGTCCTCCTCATTCCTGTCCTTGTACCTCTCACGCTCAAACTGCTGCGTGGCTTCATCACTCGCTTTCTCCATCACTCTCTTCTGCTGCGGCTCCTTCACCTCGACCGCCGTCGCCTCCTTCTTCTTCTTGACTTCATTCTCTGTTTTCTCATCGGGCACCTTGTCGTCCTCGCCCTCCTTCTTCTCCTCTGCCAGCCTCTGATCCACGCCGTCCTCTTCCTTCCCGCCCTGCGTCTCCTGCTCCTCCTCCTCCTTCACCCGTTTCATCTTCCTGACGAGTTCGTCCAGCTCCTCCTGCTTCTCCGTCCGCTCCCTCTCCTGCTCCAGCTTGCTCTTGCTCTCCTGCTCCTTGAGCAGCTCCTTTAGCTCCTTCTCCACCTTCTCCCTCTCCACCATCAGCTCCACCTCGTTCTTCCTCCTCTCCTCGAACCTCTGCTTCTCCGAGTCCTCCGCCGGATCTCCCTCCTTCACTTTGTCCTCCTTTTCCTTCTTCTCCTCCACCTCTTCCTTCTGCTCTGGTGCAGAGCCTCTCTGGATCTCCCTCTCCTTCACTGCCTCGTAGCGCTTCTTCTTCAGCTCTTTCAGCAGTTCTTTGAGCTCCTCATCATTCCTCTCCTCCTTCCCTTTCTTGGTGATCTCCTCAGCCAGCAGCTCCTCAAGCTCCTTGGCTTGCTCCTCTTCTTTGTCCCTCCCTCTGTGTTCGATCCGTGGCTCCTCCATCATCTTCTCCTTGGTGTCATCTTCCTCTATCTCCTTTGGAGGGCTGGTCACGTCTCTCTCCTCCTTCGCTTCCTTCGCCTCCTCGTCCCCTTGCTTGAAGTCGCTCTGGTCGTCAGCCAGGTTGTACTCGTATCGCTCCTTGTCTGTCTCTGCAACGGTCAAAGGTCAGACTGCAATAATCAGTGTGTGATTTGGGATGAAGACACATCACTTCAAAACTGACTTTTACATTAATTTCATTCCATCAACAATAAGTGAAACACTAAATCAGAGCTGCTTTGTTTTTGTGAATTTGTTCGTACCATGGTCAGCCAGCCTCTGCAGCTCCCTGAGCAGACCATGATGTCTTTGCACTTCATCAAGTTCCTCTGCAAAAATAATGACACGCAACACTTCAACAATACAATAGCGCAACCAAAAATATCAACAGAGTATCGACACAACAAAACAGCATCACAGAATAAATCAATAAGCAAATAAAGCTAAAAGACAGATGAATTAGTTCATCATTTTAAATTGAAAGTTTATCAAATCAAACGTTCAGTCTGTTTTGTCCCACAAAAAGTCAAAAATGTAACTACTTAAATACTTATTTTAGCTCTAAATACTTCTATTTAAATATTGAAGAACAGATAAGTAGAGATGCCACCTGCTAGCTGTGGGCCACACTCATGTTGTGGCCCGTCTTCATTCAGAGTCTCCTGAATAATACATTCAACCTATAGAGGCACAATACAAAAAAAAGAGACACAACTTATTTGAGACGTAAAATTAATAATAATAATAATAAACTGAATGATACGGGGAATAAATAAGGACTTGTTTCTGACCTTTGCATCATCAAGAGGTGAGGTTACTGGCCGGCTTCCCACTGAGGCACAAAACAAGGAGAATGAGAACACAGATCAATACATTTAGCATTTCTGCATCAGCAGAAAGCTGCACCAAACTGTGTCACGGAGCACCACATGAACTGCTTTGTTTACTGAGCGACGGTTAGTGCTGCGTGGGTGGAGCTGTTCCCTTATTAAGGTAAGCACAGTTACCTTGGTAAAGCGACACAGCAAAGAAGCTTATCTCTGTCTCCAGGATGCAGATATTCCCAAAGGCTTTAGCTCACAGGTATAGTCCCCCCCCCCCCCCGCCATGCCGGCAGATCATTAAAGGCACACTCAGCTGTGCCATCAGCACATTTTTTCTCACGGAGACACTCGGAGATCACAATGCATGTTCATCACGCAGCCCCGTGACCTTTGTATTTTATTGTTATGTATCGGCTGCAAGGGGCCGACTGAGACACAACAACCGCGTTCAATTACTGCGCCTTCATTTAGTCCTGAATCTAAATGTCAGACTGTAATATTTTGGTCATGTTAGAAACACGTTTTCTGTTAAATTGACACCAAAATACTTTTACTATTGATCTCTACTGTGATGTGAGACTGAAACACAACACTGATACTGTTTAGTACCTTCACTGACACAACAAATGTTGTAAGTTTGATCTCAACTCATGTGTCAGCACACAGCCGGATCAGTACAGATCAGGATCAATAGCACTAATTGATACCCCCCCTTCCTACAGACACGTGAGCTCTGCATGTCCATGTGATAGTGTGTGTGTGCTGTGTTTGTGTGTGTGTCTAAGCTGGGACACCCCGGCCTCATAATTAAACATGGCTCTGGGTTTTATTGGCGTGTCCTGCTGCCCAACCAAACCTCCATGTTAGAAATTGAGAAAAATCAAAAAGCATCTGTCTAAAACAATAAGGGTTTTGGTGATAAATTCAGCAAAAAACGTGGATTTAAAAACTATAGAGCCATATCTGAGTCAGGACCATAATGCTCATAGATGCGCTACAATGAGTTTAGAGTGAGATTAATCCTAATTTTTGCGTTTAATTGACGTCTATAGTGTCGTTTAGAGGTAGAACATCACCGTCTCTGTTCCTGTGATGTATAGATTTAGTTGTACTCGGTGTGGGTGTGGCCTGACAGTGATTGTTTTCACTGAGCAGCTGAACAGTTTACGGTCTGCTCTATGTAGGTTATCTTCCTGTTATAACAGAGCGCGTGACACCACTGCAGACTCCCTATTACCCTGTTTTCATCCGCGGAGGCAGACGTCCCTCTCATATCAACACTCTACGCTAGAATACACTTGTTTAAAAAAAAAAAAAAAAAACTAATTTAAACGTTTTCACCGCAGCAGGCGCATGGCACCGTGCAGCGCGCGCACACGTGCGCCGTTCCGCTCACCTGTGCGGCGCTTTAATTCGCTTTTATGTTGTTTGAAGAGGATCGTTAATTAAAACAGTAAAATATATGTTGTGTTTCAAATGTCCACCAACCAGTGACAGCACCGTGAGTCCAGACGGACACGTTAAAGGTAGACGCGTAAGAAATTATGTAACAACGCTTTTGTTTAGCCCGTTAAGTCTGAACCCTCTGAGGCTTGATCTACATTAACACACACCTTCTGTCACATAAAGTCTGGTTGTGACGCGTCTATTTGCAGCCTTCTTTAACGATGGTTACATGCCGGTAAAAACAATAACAAGGGCTGCAGATGAGGCTTGTCTCCGGCTTAGCTACTCGCATTTTGTATCGTCATTTCATACCTAGCGACACACACACACACACACACACACACACACAATGTAGCGGTGTAGTGCATGTGATAAATAGCCCACTTACCCCCGACGGCAGCCCAGAGAAAAAACGCGGTTATCAGAATTCCCATAGGATCCAGAAAGTGAGGTTCCTGCAGGAGATAACCTTGAAAATAACGGGCTGGATATTCTTCACACACCGGCGAGGTGCAGCCGTGGAGCCGTGTGTGTGTGTGTGTGGGTGTGTGTGTGTGGTGTCAGGTGACTTGAGACCAGATCAGAGCCCAAACCCTGTTCCGGTGCCAGAGATGTCAGTTGGTCGTCCTGTACTTAAAGAGTATGTCAACAAAATGTTTAGTATGCGTAACTCAAGGCATTTCAATATGCTTCTCAAAGCTAGCCCATTTTAATCATAATTATTATTATTTATAAAGCACCTCTAAAATCAGATTGTGCATTTTACGAAAGTGCTACGACAGACAAAGCAAAAGCAAAACTAAGAGATACAAAATGAGCTGTATAGAAAAATTAAACACATTACCTGTAATCCTGCTCTATTAAAACCCCACTAAACAGAGAGAATATTATTATAACAGCTATTATGACAGAAGATTATGATAACCATGCAAACACCCATCACCTCCCCTGGCTGCTAATTAATTACTCCAATTACATTAACTTCTGATACTTTGCAACAGCTGGCACCTCTGGGAGCACTGTATATATTTCTTTCCTGTTCTCCAGCCCCCCCCCCTCCTTAAGGTGACAGTCATTCAGTGTGTTTGCTAATATATTTATAATGTATTGGCTAGTAAGCAATGCATGAGGCAGAAATTAAACACTTATCTTTTTATTGGTTATTCGTTATCGTTGTTTCTCCTCATGACGTTTGGGCGTACATTTGCGATTTCATGGCATTCAACAAAATAAGACATCAATATATTTACAGTGACAGTGAACTGCATTATTAAAGGTTTGATCCTCTGCCTCAAAACATCGATGCACTCAATTCAATTGATTTCATTTAATGAACAATGGAGATCATTCGACCCACCAGCAGACGTACAAACATCCTTATGCGTCTTAAAAAGGGACAGTTCACCCAAAATCAAAAATATATTTTTTTTTCCTCGTACCCGTAGCGCTAGTTATCAATATAGCTTATTTGGAGATGTCTGTTTATCTCTAGAATGGGACTAGATGGGACTCAAAGCTCCAAAAAATTACATTTGAAAAACTCAACAGCAAAGTCTCTTTTCAGAAATCATGACTCAAGATTATCCACAGACCTCGTCGTGAGCAGTGTCATATAGGAACTATTTTCTTTCAACCAAAGTCCCTTTAAAGAACTTCCTGTCTTGACTTGGTGTTTGCAGGTGTTTGCTTTTGTTTGTGTCATCTGGTTTTGGGAGCCGGCCGGGGGGGTCGAATGTGCTGGTTGGGTCCGATGTATTTCAGCGGAGCGTACTTTGGTGTCTCGATGACTTCTAGGCCCAAATAAGACTGCAGGGCTCGGGGGACACGCACGGTCCCTTCCTGGGGAGAAAGACATAAAATAAAAAGCATCATCAACAACACTGATGTTAAGTCAAGTGGTTTCTAAAATGTCTTGAAGTTGGTAGTAGCTGCGTTTCCCCCGATTGGGTTAAAGTAAATCCCTGAGAAATTTAAATTTGTTCTATTTGACATCTAGTTGCTCTTTGGAGTTTGTTGAGGCCCATTTTTATGGAAGATTTAAAATGCCTAAATAAAAACAAACAAAAAACAAACGAAATACATCACACATTGTTATATGTGTTTCATTTTAATTACATTTATTTAGCTATTTCTGTATAACAACTGAATTAATCGTTAATCATTGGGATTAAAATCAAATCACAACACAGAACAAAGTGAAGAGGAGCAAAAAAAAAAAAATGTATTCAATTAAATGAACAGGGAAAAATAAACATATTTATGCTCCTTGTAATATTCTAATGGGCATTATAGTGGTAACTGCAGTCTTATTTCTATATTAATATTTCAGACATTACAATTAATATTAAAATGTTTTGACTGACAACAATCACAAGGGGGAGCCACTTCAACACAGGTGCATCCAAAGAAACACGTGTAGCTCAGTGGAAGGTGGATTAGGTAACATGTTGTTGGAAGAAAAGATATATATATTTTAAAGGAACACATTTTCATTTAAAACTTTGTCTGCAAAAGCAACAATATTGTGTCTGGGTTTCAGTCGCGGACATGTGCTTTTTAAAATATTTGTATATATATAATAGGGATATTACAGCCTTTTTCATGACTACTCATTGAATCTATTTTGTCATTTTGTTAAGCAGTAAAGGATTCTGGGTGTCCCAGGTTTTTGGGAGCCCTTGTGTGTGAAGTGAGCCTTACTTTGGTCTGGTGAGTCTCCAGGATAGCGATGATGGTTCTGGGGATAGCACACGCTGTGGCATTCACCTAGAGAGGAATAAAACAAGCATCATGGAGGTGGTACACTGCTGTGAGCTAAACCCTCAGGAACGTACAGCAGTGCTGCCTCGTCTGCAGTCTTACTGTGTGGGCGTACTGCAGGCTGCCGTCCTCTCGCTCATACAGGATGTTGAGGCGTCTGCTTTGGTAGTCTGTACAGTTGGACCCACTGGAAATCTGGCATATATATATAGAGAGAGAGAGAGAGAGAGGAAACTGTGATCAGAATCAGCATCAAGATACAGCCTTCTGGCTCTGTGGAGCTCGATAGATATGGCGACAAAATTCAAGCAGAGTTTAATTCAGGTGTTTAGAGGAATGATGAGTCATTGACTGAAAGCATGTTCGTGTAAGTGTAATGGGAAAATATGTTATAGTATCATGTGAAGTTTTAAAGAATGTACAACTGAAAGTGATGAACACAGACAGGCACAAAACAGCAGTCCTGCAGAAGATTTTAATTAGTTTTGAATCCAGGTGTCCTGTTATCTTTTAGCTGATTGCACGCTTCCACAAGGGTGAGAAGTGAAGAGACACTGCGTCTTTGTTTGTAAGGCAAAAACACAGACAGACCTTGAAACCAGAACTGAATGTCCTGACAGAAATATCTAATGAGCAGAATATTACCTCTCCATAGCTGTCCCTCCCAGGCATCCAGGCTTCAATGTCATACTTCCTGTGTGCTGGAGGACCCAGTTCCTGTGTCGGCATGTCCAGCACTCTAAGTCAAAATATATAGCCACAACTCATACAAATATCCTAAATATCATGTAAAATATAATAGATGTGTGAAAGAACAGGGTGACTTAGATTGTGACTATGTATGTGTGTGCATGTGTGTGTGCGTGCGTGTACTAACCTGTAGTGTAGTTCCAGTGCAGAGAACATTTCTTTCTGCAAAGAGATAAACTCCTCCAGCAGCTGAGAGCTTTCCTCTCCCGTCTCATCTGCTGTCACTCCAAACATCTCTACCTGGACACACACACGCACACACACACACACACAGTTAATTACAACGCTCGTTAGCATAATCATGGAGTAGGCACTTGTTTATGATCTTTAAAATGATTTGCAATCAATTGCAGGTTTGCTTAACGGCTAACAAAGAGCAAAAGACATTAGCATATTTCCATCCAAGCTAGTCTGGTGTCTCTAATGTTTGTGCTTGTAACCTTGTTGAAGTGATGCACTCTGTAGAGCCCCCACGTCTCTCTGCCCGTGTCCGTCTCGGCTCTGTAGCAGGTGCTGCTGCACACCGTCCTGCAGCGGGAGGCGACACGTGATGTCAGCATGAATTACTCCACCTACATCTGTAGCAAAACGAGGAGCGAGGGGAGCTTCTCACCTGACAGGCAGGTCCTTCCAGTTTACTGCATGATCCATGAAATAGCCTGGAGGAGAGAGACACACGTCACATAGCTACTTAATACACATGTAAAATTACTTTATTACTAAAACATTTGCATTACCATCATAAACACCTGTAATATCTAGTAAAATAACTGGAACTCCAGCATTGTTGACTATTGTGTAAATCTAACATACTTTTTTAACATCTTTTCAGTTCCAGTCCAGAAAAAAGTGTTTGTCAAAGTCTCTGCAGGTGTTTTCTGGGTGAAACTCTGGGCTTACAAAACTATAAGATCACAAAAAACACGTATATTAAACATTTGATAAACTATGTAGTGAACGCTTTACAACGTCTTCCCCAAAAGAGTGTTTCACAACCGAACTACGTGGGCGTGTCTCGCTGAGATCGCCATAATTAGACTCTCGCTCAGGTTGAAGTTGGACAGAGCAATGCTGCAAAACACATGAGGTCACCAAACTTCATGAATCAATAAGAAGTGATACAGCTTCTCTGCCACAACAGGTGCAACAAAGCCAACAAGAGGATCAGAGAGATCAACGACTGGTACTGATAAGCATTCGTACTGGTCATGTATTGTTAGAGGGAAATTAAAACCTCATGGTGATTGCAACACAATAACACTCACCTGCCACTCCGACCTCTCCGGTCCCTGCCAGGTTGAGGTCTGGGAAGCGGGCCTGGTCAAGAGAATAGACCTGAGAGCGATGGGCGTTGGGCTGCATCCCACATCCCTCCTGGAGGCGGAGAGAACAGAAGGATGTAGAGAACGAAGAGAGGAGGGGTCAACAAGAGTGGGACATTGAGTGGCTTAAAAGATGCTTTGGTCTTTAAACAGTTATGTCCGAGTGTTTTGATGCAAAATATTTCATGAAAAGCATTAAGAATAACTCTATAGAAATAGACCATCTTCTCTCTGATGGTCTCGTTTACTTATGTAGGTCATATAGAGAGGATCAGCATTACATTGAGACTGTTTCATAACCAGTTAAAGTTCCTCACACGATATTATAGAAACAGATGGAACACTCACAAACACTGCCCCCTTCATCATGTCGGGTACAACCATGGGAATGAAGCCCTGTAGGAGTCAAAGGGAAGTTTGCTCTCATATGTATAATAACAGAATAGGCGTGCACCCTTTATAACTAATATTTCCAAACACAGGGTTACCCGTTGCTGCAGTGTGTCCAGGGCAAAGTTTTGGAGTGCAGTCTGGAGTCTGGCCCCGGCTCCCCGTAGATAGTAGGACCTGTGGCCTGAGACATGAGCCAGATGTCTGCAGGAGGTATTAGATCGATTATATTAGGCAAGTTATTAGATATTATGGTATTAACATATTCAAAGAACTAAACTAACATCCTCAGTTTATCCTTCAATCATGTGAATGCAAGGCTTAATCCTGCACAAGCAACTGGAATATCAAGTGAGACAAGTCCTCAAAACCAACAATCAGAGGCGTCCTCACCTCTGCCGGATGAGAACTAACTCCTCTCCCAACTCTACATGGCCTCTGGGCTTGAAGTCAAACTCTATAGCAGAGAAAGCCGATTATGAGATATGTCATTGTATACAAAGAATGACAAAGCAGTTTTAGATTATTCACTCACCTGGTTTCTGTCCAACTAGCTCCACCACCCTCGCCTGGCTCTCATCTCCAACTGGCTGAAAAAAAGGAAAGAGGAACTTTAAGACTTTACAACTAGGTTTTTCTTTTAAAAGACACACTTCACAGAATAATCTCTCCCCACATGCTCTGGACAAAGTGTATGTGTGTGTGTGTGTGTCCTCACCACATCAGGGTGCGAGGCGTTGGGCAGTCTGAGCGCTCGTCCGTAGTGCTCCTGGTCCAGTCCTGTCTCTTTGGGGTACAGTTGGTTCAGTCTGCTGCGGATCTCGCGGCCCTTCTGCAGAGCCTGAGTGTACTCTGGAAGCTGCGTGGTGAACCACAAGCAGTCAGAACTGGTCCCACGTGGAATTTTACCACCGACCAGTACACTGACTGGGGAGCAGCAAGACCAAGAATGACTGACTCAATAACAAAGCATTAAAGAGTTTAAATTCTTAAGTGGCAAACTTACATTACCAAGGGATTTCTTGTCGTTCTTGGCCTGTGAAGAAACAATGTTCATGTCACAATAATGGAAAAATCGATATATATTCCAAACAAACAACCTTTATCATATTCGTGGTGACTGTGAGCAGAGCTGTAATAACCTTTACTGACCACTATAGCCTTGACTGTGTCACTGATGTGTCTCTTCTGCTCCTCCAGTCCTGAGATCTCCGTCCTCACTGCCTGGAGCTCCTGCCACACACTCACCTACAATGTGGACACATAACCGATCTATTAAAATGACAGTGGAACAGTGGGCTCTCCATTAAATTACATATTTACACAATCCATGACAATGTTTATAATGGCTCTATGTTTATGTTTGCTTATCTGGTTTTGTCAACTTTGTTTAGTTGTATTTCAGAGATTCTAACATAGTGGACCAATACAGTTATTTCCTTGAAGGAATACTGAGTTTATAGTTAGGATTCAAACGTTGTAATAACTACTTTATAACAGAATATAATGCTGGTGAGACAGTTTGAGAGTTTTAAAATGTATTTTGTTTATTGTCACTGTGCACACTGATATATGTTCACAGTGTGACACTTGAAAACTATTTTCCAAATTCACTTGCTGAAGGGTGAAGGTTTCTCTGCGCTCACATTGAATCAGAGTTTAAGGCATGAACTGTACATAAAAGCAGGATTTGTGACACGACAACAACAACACAAACAATAACAAAAAACATCAGACACAAATAAATATCCAATAAAGAGTATTTTTATATGTCATAAAACATCTTTAATACCAATGTTTCTAATTCTGTATGTGTTGTATGACACACCAATCATAGTCCACTCCTCACCCAACAGTACTGCACAATGCAAACTGTTTTACACAAATGCTTTGGCTCAATACATAATATGAATATCATACAGTTATATGTACAGTTTGTGTTTTCATTGTAAGGAGCCCAGAAATGTAACCTCGCAGAAGATTAAGTTGTCACAAAAAGCATTGAATCAGCATCTGAAGAAACACTCACTATACTCCTGACATCGTCCCCTCGCAGGTCGCCCTTCCTATTCTCCACATTCGCTATGACTTTGTCGGTCTCCTCGCACACTGCTCTCATATCCAGCTCGGGCTTGTCGCTGTAACCTTCGCGGACATGCTCGTACAAACTGCTCCGGGCTCCTCCGTGCGAACAGCGGTGCTGCGGGATGCACACACTCGCCCTCTGCCGTGAACATTGTCTGACCACCGGCTTTAACGCAGTCAGTGCAGTGCCTCCAAATCTCACGACCACGCTGATGCAGGTCGCCATGTTTGTCTTGTGGTCAATGTCGCATTCACGGGTGTGGGAATTACCGGTGCTGTACTCCTGTGTTGTAGGCTCCCGGTCAGCTTTTCGCCATTCACTTTCAAAGGATGTGCGTTTGAATACTAAATTGTGATGTAAACGAAAGGATAATGATAACAATTATTATAATTGTTTCTGTCTTTCTTTGTCGGGTGTGAAACGCCCGTATCGGCCGTGAATGCAGCATTAATGTGGAAGTGAGTATTTCGGAAATAAAATCGAAATATTTTATTTAAAAAATATATATATCAACTCTTTAACGCAACGGTTATCACATAATGTCAAAGAGGTGAGCGGGGAAATATTTTAATTTTTTTTCCCAGTGACAGAAAGAAAACGACTCAGCCCCAAACACAAGTCGTCACGATCCAAAGGTCAGCCAATCAGATGGGCGGAAGTTTAACGTTGCGGTAATCCGGTTCAGACGTGACAAGTGCGGCCGACTGGATCTGAACTCAGTCCTAATTTTAATGCCCCGTAGACTCTAAAAACTAGCGGTACACTCTCCACCACCGAGCCGGACCCGTGTGGATAACCGCCATGGTGGACTAATATGTCCGCGAGCTTTGGCACAGGGGGAGAATTGTTCCTTTGTAAGCTAGTTTTGGTCCGTCCGTTAGTAACCGTTGGTGATGTTGCACGAGTCAGTCCGTTCGTAGCCTTTGGGGATGTTGCACGGGGCTGGATGAGCTAGTAACCAGTCGACGAGCCTTTCCGCTGAGGCCGGAGGAACCAAAAGGGAGACCCAGATGAGACTGCGGAAAGCCTCCCGAAGCTCCTGGTAGTACACCGGGTTCTTGGATACAGTTAGCCGGGGCCCTAAAAAACTGTCTCACCAATTCCTGTTGAGTGAGACCCAATCAGCTTTCACGGTGGAAACGAGAAGGAGAGCAAAGGTAAGCTAACTATTCATATTCATAAGCTGATGCTACAACAGCAGTCTGCTATTTATTAAAGCCAGTCTTTTTTTGACCTTATGGTAAAAAAATCATAATTGAAACATACAGCAATACAGTACATACAGTGGGGTAAATCTGTAGTATAACCTAAAGTAAGCTGCATTAGATGAGTCTGGGAAGCTAAAACAAACAATCATAGAGGATGAGAGTTATCTGTCATGTTGTTTGTTTGTTGTTGGTTAAATCTTTGCACTCCTCTTTAGTTAGTTAATTTAATATTATTCTATTTCATTGTATATATTGTGCAAATTTCCCCTTGTGGGATTAATAAAGTAACTGTCTATCTATCTGTATATATAATATTTTAGTTATTTACCTTTTTACTTATGTAATAATATTCTTTACTGTTTTATTACTTATTTATACTTGTTTTGATCTTGTTTTTTTTTACTATGTATGTTGTTTGCACTATCCACTATGCTGTAATCCTGTAAATTTCCCCGCTGCGGGTCTAATAAAGGATTATCGTATTCGATCTACTTCAGATGAATGCTGTGCGGGGCGGGACGGTCACCTGGCGTCCCCAGCCGTGGCAGGACGGAGACGGGGGAGGAGGGGAGCCTCTCTCGGACAGCGACTCCGAGGAGGAGGACTTCCCTGATGACAGCACCACACCTCTGGGAGACTACATCACACACGGTGAGAAAGAGGAAGGGTGTCGTTGGGAAATTTTGGAAAACTCCTTCTGCTCCGTCTTAATTCATACTCAACCCTCCCTCTGTTTTCTCTTCTTCTTCTCCTTTCACTCTCTGCTGTATTTTTTAGGATTGAAGCAGCTCCTGGATGCTCAGCAGCTGTGTGATGTTACTCTTCTTGTGGAGGGAAAGAAGTTCATGTGTCACAGGTATGAACATGCGTTGGAATTTATGAAACATAAAAAGTCATAGCCGGCATGTCCTTAAAGAGCTGCAGTTTGTGTAGCTTAAAAAAGGAGATGCGTGCCAAGGAGATACGTGCCAAGGAGATGCGTGCCAAGGAGATACGTGCCAAGGAGATACGTGCCAAGAAACACACGGAAGAAGTTGAAGAACAATACTTGGAATGTTGAATCAGCATTCCAACAATAAAACATTTCCACCCCCTACTAAAGTATAATATGCAAATCAGATGTGACTTGTGATGACGCTGCACTGCTGCATCTCTGTTCTTGTAGTAAAGCTGTTCGCAGCCTCTGTTTGATATCAAAGAGCGGGAAAGATCAACAAAACGAAACACTGTAAAATGTAGAAATGTCTCTGAAACGAGTGTCTTCTCTCCCCTCAGAGTCCTCCTAGCAGCCGTGAGCCCCTACTTTCGGGCCATGTTCACCAGCCCCCTGGTCGAGTCCCGCCTCACCGAGATCCGACTGGAGGAAGTGACGCCGTCTGTCATGGAGACCGTCATCCAGTTTGTGTACACCGGTGAGGCGGGGCTCTCTCTGGACACCGCCGAGGATCTGTTTGTGGCCGCCAACCGGCTTCAGGTCATGCCCCTTCAAGACCTGTGCTCCAGGTAGATTTTAATATTGCATTTAGCTTTATCAAACCAGCTTCTGGACGTTAAACCCTCTTGTCTCACTTCCTCTCTTCTCTTTCTCTCCACCTGTGGTTTTCCTCTGTTCTTATCTCTCCAGGTTTCTATTTGAGCACCTCTCGGTGGATAACTGCCTGGGGATGTACTCTCTGGCTCGCTCTCACCACGACCAGCTGCTGCTGCGGGCCTCTTTGCGGCTGGTGGCCCAGCACTTCCCCCGGGTGGCCCGGCAGAAGGACTTCCTCCTGCTCGACCACGGCACCTTGGGCAGCCTCCTGAGCTCCGACCGCCTTGGCGTGGACTCCGAAGCGGAGGTGTACGACGCGGCACGCCGCTGGGCGGAGCACCAGCCCTTGGACCGCTACGCCCACATGCCGGCGCTGCTCCACCACCTGCGGCCGGGGCTGCTGTCCCAAGAAGAGAGCCGCAGGCTCTGCCAGGAGTTGGGGCCCGCCGCGGCCGGCGAGGGCCTCGGGGGCCCTCTGAGACCACGGGAGGGCATGTTTGAGAAGAAGATTGTCTGTGTGGACCTGACGCCTCGGGAAGAGGATAATTTAGCCGCGAGAGACTACACGGTGGACTGCTTTGACCCTCGGACAGGGAAGTGGGAGAAGTTGGCGGCGCTGGGTTCACTGGTCAGTCCCGGCTGCACGGCTGTAGGTGACCGGCTGTTTGTGGCGGGCGGGATCCTGCGGACAGGCTCCGTGTCTGCAGCCGTGCATGAATATGACGCGGTGTTGGACCGCTGGATAGAGAGGCCTTCCATGGTCCAACCGCGGGCTATGCTTGGCCTGCTGGGCTGTGGAGACTCGGTCTTTGCCTTGGGGGGTAGTAACCGCTCCGCTCTGCTGGACTCCAGTGAGACCCTGGAGCTTGCGACACTTCAGTGGGCTCCGGGGCCTCGGTTACCGCTCCCTCTACGCGCCTTTGCCTGCGCGGCACTACGCGGACGACTTTACCTTCTGGGGGGAACCACACTCGAACAGAACCGGGCCGTGGTCCACTCGGGGGTGCTTATTTATCACACCCTAACAGACTGCTGGACACGAGTGGCTCTGGACTCCGGCGCCACCTGCCTCGCCGGAGGGGTAGCGGTGCGTGGAGGAGTGTGCGCCATCGGGGGATACATGAGGGATACGACCAAGTTCCTGGACGGGAACTACACCAATCTGGAGACTTTAGACGCCACTGGGCGTGTGCTGTTTTTCAGAGAGGGCCGGGGGTCTGGGGTAGAGAGGGAGGTGACTGGGGGAGGGGTGATGGTCACCGCGGACCAGCGGGGCGGGGCAGGCGGCGGGAGCGACCGTGCCCCGAGCCCCGTGGTGTTTCCCGGGCTGCCACGGCGGATAGCGGCCGGGGGCGTGGCCAGGTGGAAACGCAGGATTTACGTGCTGGGCGGGGAGAATGGCACGCGGTTCTACGACAGCGTGTACTGTTGGAAGCCCGGCTGGCGCAGCTGGGTCCAGAGACGGGAGAAACTCCCCGGAGACACTGGAGGGGTGAGCCAGTTCGGGTGCACCACTTTAAAGTTCCCCAAGAAACACATCCTGTCCAGACTGAGACTAGCCAAAGAAAACTGCAAGAAGGCAGCTGACTAGCTTGATAGGGACCAGTACGACCGAAGGGTTTGAAGTAGCTCCTCATTGACCATTTTATACAGTCTGAGTGCAGCCCAGAGAACACCTGTAATGGACTGGATGCAGGCAGATCGTATAAAATGTGTTGTGGAAAGTCGGATGTACAGGCGGAGAGCAAAGGGAGCCAGAAACTGGTTGGAAGCCAGGAAACATGCACCTGAATATCACCCAATTTACTATTTGTGAGAACAGTAAAGTCATTTGAGAGGGAACAAAAGGGCCTTTTTTTAATTAATTGTTTTCTTAAAGTGTAATATTATTTTCAGCTGGCGTAATTTTTTTTAAGGCTGTTAAAAAAAACCTGTTTCAATGCTGTGAATTTTTCAGCAGCGTTTAGTTTAGACACAAGGATACCGGCACATCTCCGACCGCTCTATGTTCCACTTTATTTACCTTCCTTCTTCTTTAACGTGGGCCTGTAAAGCCTTCTGGAACTGCACTTAAGGGCTTTAGAAATAAACAGTGAAGACGTTGTTCGGTCTTTGACTCGTGACTTGAAAGCCCTGTATTGTCCTCGTCTCATTGGAGGACATCGGTCAAAGGTTCATCCCTCACAAACATCAGGATCTTCCGGTCACTGGTCCCAAACACGGCAGAACGTAGACCAGATGTGTCTTTTTTTACTTAAACCGTGCTCATGTTCGGTGTTCTTAAATGCCTCAAACATGTGGAACATAGCAGTGGGAGAAATGTGCAAATACAGCTGGAACACGCACAAAAATCTAAAAGCCAGAACATCTTCCACATTAATATATATGACAATGTGTGCTTTATGTTGATGACGGTACCCATGGCCTCCTTGTGTCTAAACTACCGCACCTTTCCTAAACCTTCAGCTGTCTTTACGTGACTCAGCAGCCGTGTCAACATGACACTTTCTTTCTTTCGGTTGCTGCGGCGGCCACAGGACCTGTGAATGTGTTCTGCATGGAGGTTATGGAATATCTGAAGACATTAGCACTGCACCTAATTTATTGAAATGTTTAAATGTTTTTTGTTGTTGTTTTATTTTGAAATGGTAACTTTTTGCTCTGACTTTCACTCTGAGCTTAGACAGACCCGTCAAACAGGAGCAGATGTGTTTGGATCTGAACGTTTTTTAAAGTAACTTAATTCTTAAATTCTAATTTTATGGTATGAAAGGTTACCCACAAATGTAAGCACATTGTTTTGCTGTAAGCCGCTATGTTTTCTTCTGTTTTCCTCTCTTATTTATTCACATTGATCAGATCCAGACACTTCTGGGGGGGGAGACATCGCCAGCTGTGTCTGAAAATGGCAGAATTCTACCAGTGTTGTCATCAGATTGCACACTACAAAACAGCTGGAAAATATGTGGATACTTTGGGATTTTTGCCATGATGGAGGCCCTCTAACTCGTGAAACGGAGAGCTTAAAAGTCAGAAAAAAGATTTCTATGACATTGAAATGAATGGGTTTCTATTGCTAAAATACAGCAGGAAATAATTTTTTTGTTAATTTGGAATTTTCTCACCATCTTAACGATCAATATTTGCATCACTGCAGGCTAGATATGACTTTAGATTAGTTAACATTGATACAGTTTAGATACTGTGAGTACGACATTAACCTAATGCAAGAGCATGAAGATGGATTCAGGATGTGGCAAAATATGATTTATTTTTCCAATCTCGTACACCTGGGATAAGACAAAGTGTGACTCTGTACAGGATCCTAGTCCTGCAAAGTGGATTTATTTAAGTTTACTGAAGTCTGGAACGTAGGAATTTAAACCTGCTAAAAAGCAATAATTTGGTGAGAAAGAGTTTATTTTCCCATAACGAAATTGTAAAACAAGACCATTGAATCCAAGTTCATGTAGCTCCTCAAAGCTTTGTGGTCCGGTTTGTCTCATAACTCTGGATTATTCTGAATCAACAAACCAATAGCATCAAAAGAACATTTCATCATTTTCCGTTACTTGACAACAGAAGTGTGGAACTCCCCTAATTTCTCAGCTAACAGCAGATGTTTAACACCACAGCCGAGTTATTTCTAGTGAGAACTCCCACAGCTGTTTCTTATCAGATCTCTAATGTTTTACTTTATTTCAGTAGGTTGTTCACTAAACTCAAAAATGATATCATTCTTTTCTGTTTCTTCTCATTTTGGTTGGTGAAGAGATGTGAGCTTCAGTTTGTGTTTGAAGAAAGAAATTCACATCACACTGCAGGGCTCGACAGTGAGGGATGCAAGAAGATGTCACATTTGTGAAGTTTTGGGAGTTGAAGTACCCCGTTATCTCTGTGCTGGACGTCAAATGATCCTGCAAAGCATCTACAACATACACATGACATGTCTACATGTCACATTTTCATTATTAAGCCAACGTATAATGGCACAGTATCTTCATTACTGGGATTATTTTCTGTTTCGGCAACCACTTTTTAACCCTCCTGTTGTGTTCGGGTCAAATCACCATTTGTAACACCCATGGTGTTCCCGGAAACACTATGTCCATTCATCAGATGGAAAACAGCCCCATACACACCCACACCTGTTCACAGGCCCATATATAAAGTTGTAGACATTTCAAACTTCAAACAAAAGAATCCGGTGTTTGTTATGGGAACCCATCCCCCCCACGTGAACCACACCTTCCAGACTAAACAATGTTTCATATGTTCTCGCTTTCCCCCTATAGAAACCTTTATCTGTGCCTTGCTCTCATTTTACTCTGTGAGCACAATGAGTAGGCCACTGATGAGGGGATTTTCTGTCAGAGAGGCTCTGGACCTCATTTTTGAACCAGATGAAGAGGAGATTGAACCGGAGATAGAGGAAGGTGTCTCAGAAATTGAAGACAACATTGATCCTGATTTCGATCCAGACTATTATGAGACTGACCAGTCAACAAGTGGCACCAGAGAAACAGGCACCTGAGGTGACATTCCAGTCCAAGGGTGGCAACTTGCTCTGGTATTCATCCTCCCAGGACAGAGGAGGAAGAGCGAGAGTTGAAAACATAAGGATGACGCCAGGGCCAACACGATATGCAACATCTCATGTGGATGACATCAAGTCCAGCTTCCAACTCTTTTTACCAGAGTCCATTGAGGGTATTATACTGGACATGACAAACCTGGAGGGGAGGCGTGTGTTTGGGAACAAGTGAAGAGCATTGGACCAGGTAGACCTCCAAGCCTACATGGGTCTGTTGATTCTAGCAGGAGTATATCGGTCAAACAATGAGGCTAGAAAAAGTCTGTGATGCAGAGTCCGGGAGGCCGATATTCCGGTCAACGCTGTCCTTGCAACAGTTTCATTTAATTTAGTGATACATTTTCAGTGTCTATTCTTTGTATATTCACAGCAGTTGTTCATGTAAACCACTAGTCTGAGACATTGTTTACAGCTTAAAAAGGTGTTAAATAAAATTTGGTGATGATTAATGGTTTTTGTGTTAATGTAAGTGCAGTTAAAACAGACCTTGACCGGGAACACTAAAGTAAGGGGGGAGAAACGAACACGACAGGAGGGTTAAACAGTGACTGTCGAGCCCTGCATTGTTTCTTTTTTTTTCATTTTCCAATAACAATGTTCTGAATTTTCACCTTGAAATGTCAAATGAGCCATGAAAGGTGATCATGTGTGTGTATGTGTGCGCATGTTTTCTATGAAGCTCTTTTGCACACGTGTGTCCATTCAGAGAAGTGAAGCTGCCCTCGTTTGTACAATTTGATCGGTGAGCTGAAAGGCGAACGGATGTTTAGATGAAGGCAGTGCTGTCAGATGATTAAAGGACTGTTTGCTTATGTGTTTTCCACTTCTTCTTCTTTATTATTATTGTTTTGTTGTTTTTACAACTACAGGAGCTTAATGATGTCGTGCTCCGTCTAACCGACAATAGATAAACATGTTTGCATGTAAAAAGTTGAAAATCCAGCAGAACCACACGGCTGACACCCTGTTTTTCATGGTTTGGTGTTAATAAGTACTCTCATTAATAAACTGCTGACACGGCTCATTGTCACAGCTGGCCAAAGTTCTCACTCAGGCTGACCTCCACAAATCTCCTGCCGACCACAGATGCAGTGCATCTTTTCTTGGTCACGTTGATGTCTCTGACAGATAAATCTCAGGTGATTAAAGGTTAAACAAAGTGCACTCTGGTGTTAAAGTGGAGCGATGGAGAGTCTCATCAGACAAAGTGATCATCAACAACATCGCCGTCATTGTTGGATATTTCATCGTGGTGATCAGTGTCGGCATTTGGGTGAGTGCACCTGTGTTGGTCTGTATAACTATAATGAGGAGGAGATGAATATGAGGTGTGTCACATAAAGGAGAGGTGACGTGTGGTTTGTTCTGTGTTTTAGGCCATGTGTTTTGCACCAATCATGGGACGGTTGGAGGATATTTCCTGGCAGCATGCACCATGACGTGGTGGAGTAAATATAAAATATACAGCCCGATATTAGCTTATTATGTTCTTATTGGCCGATGAGTAGAAAGCAATTCAAAAGATGTGCTTGAGGTCACCGTTATATTATCATTTCAGAGTTTGTCCACCAGAGGATGCCACCGAGTTTATGTATGTGTGTATTAATATATATATATATATATATATATATATATATATATTTATTTATATATATATATTTATATATTTATTTATTTATATATATATTTATTTATATTTATTTGTTTTTATATATTTATTTATACATTTATACATTTTAAAGTTGAACGAGCAGACGGAATAAACGAGGCTTCATGCTAACGACATACTCTGTAAGTACTTGAACTACTTTATTCCAATATTGCAAACCGAAATATCATTACAATACCATAGAGCAGATTTCTACGGGATTTGCAACATTGGCTTTCAACCGATAAATGTGGATGTGATTTCTTAGTAAGGCTCTAAAATGAAGATATTTGTCATCATTTTTTTTTTTACTTCTGTCAGTTGCTCCTCAGCAGCTTCACAACAGGGAAGACATGCACTAGAGTCAATAATCATTCATACAGTATGCTGACGCTGCGAAAGACACAACCACCTCCTGCAACTCTATTGTTGTCTCTCTTAGCGAGGACCCGGTGTGGAGGTACATGGTGGATGCTAATGCTCTCATGATGATGGCTGTAGCAGTGTTTATGTGGGGTTACTACACCTAGCTGTCATACTGATGTACATGTGATGAAGTTTGATCACTCTGTTGGGACGATTCAGTAACAGTGGCGCCACCTGGTGCCAATTACCTGTCACTACAAATCATAGAGACATCACAATAAAAAATAAAGAAAGTTCTCTCACTTCTCTGTGGAGCACAGTGGGTTTGAAAGAATGTGTGTAATGCAGTTTATAAATGTTTCATCAGGTTACGATGCCATTACTGTATACCGTTACATGTTGATTCAATCTGCGCCTGCTTCCAGCACCGAGATAAAAGGTAAGAAAAAAAAAGTATAATTTGGAAGCCAGGTAAACTCAATAAAGTCTCAAGTAGCCTGAAGATTTGTTTTCAAAGCTCCCCCCCCGACTGGTTTTTAAATCTTTGGCTCAAGAAATCAATAAAAAGGTTGAGTCACTTTGCAAAACTCCTGTTCGAAGAAAGGAATACTCATGCGTTCATATTGTCGGATAAAGTGCATGTCTAGTTCTGCTGAGTCAGTGCGGACTCTTGATTTGTATATAATTGTGCTTGGTCATTTCATCAGGCATAAGATACATCATAAGTCATTAATTATGTACAAATATTTGGTAAGTATTACTCACTTTTCTGCCCCATATCATACTCGTTTTTGGCCGTTAGTCTCACTAAGTTAAGCTCTGATGAGCATTGTATCCGTCATTGTGAAAGGACATCATCACTGTTCAATGATCAGCTTTAAAGACGTTATCTTATTAGACACCACAGGAACTAGGTAGCCATTCAGATTTCCAGTTTTAATCATCACTTCTGTTTTTATTTAAGCAGATATTTCCCATTAGCATTGTACATGTCTGGAACCTAGAGTTCTCCCATGAATACCCAACTATCGTCCCACCTCCATGCAGAGTTACAGCATCATTCATCACATCAGCTCTTTAATGTCCAGTCTGTCAGCGAGCAGGGGTGGGAGGGGTAGGAGTTTAACAGCAAGGGAGAGGGGGGGGGGGGGGAAATGAGAGAGGAGAATGGAAAGAATGGAGAGTTTTCCGAGAATGAAGAGTCAGAGCCGTCACCAGGCACTGTTCACGTAACACTCCCACACAGAGTTATGGGTGGATCCAGTGGAGTTGGATGGAGTCTTATCGAGCGTCTGAAGTCTAGCCACCTACAGGGTCCTGTGCAACTCCCAATACTCCTGATCGTGTGTGTGAGGTATCCGACACCTCGGTCTCCTGCAGGGTGGGGAAGAGGTAGGGGGGGCTTTTAAGGCTGGAAGCTGGTGTAGAGAGTTTCTGCGGTCTGTGGTAGTCGGTTTCACCCGCTTCGAAGCATGAATGACGGCTTTGGCAAACACCTGCCCTCTGCCGAATCGTAGGACGGAGGGGGGAGGAAAGGGAGGGAGCTGGGGAGGTTTAAAACAAAGATGGAGTATTTAAAAAAAATACATCTTTGCAGGTTGAGTAGGATGACAGACTGATACAGGGAGAACACAGTCCTCAAGAATAAAAGCAAATACAATAGCAAACATTCTCTGACACACACCCCAAAAAAAAAAAAAAAAAAAAAAAAAAAATGGCAAACAAGCAAGTCAATCAAACCATACAAAGTGACATCAGGCCTTTCCAAAGTGACATCAAGTTTCTCTTTTTAATCCCATTCAATCCCACTGGTTTTAAATCAATAAAGTCCATCTCCCACAATTCTCTGTAAACCAGAAAGTACTCAGTGGCTCCTCTTTATTTTATGGCTGGTCAGCAAGGTTAGGGTCCACTCAGAGCAGGGCTCAGTGGCCAGTGAGACTGGCTAGTATGGTGTCATTAACCGATGCTAATGGCCCTTTATTCAGAATTAACGTCAGCGACACAGGCAATGATTTCAGCAGCATCATCAGGGGACTAATGAACATAGTTTACGTTACAGCACATTCAGAGAGATAGAAACGCATGGCGCCGGACACACGGGTACAAATGGCATCTTGTACAACGGAAAAGTCAAGTTTGCTTTATACAATCACATTTCTAAAGCGACGCTGAACATTCCACCACTGGAGAAAAAAAAACTAAAAAAAAAAAACTAAAAAAAACTTTTACATCTGTTGGTACGACTCGTTCCTTGAAGCACCATTTGTACAGTGAACGTGGAAGTTTGTGAAACAACACGGAACATAGAACAAGTACTGGGAACGGTAAGCAGGCTCGAAGGGCAATACATTTCTATGCGTCGTCTTTTTATGAATGCTAATCTCAATCAAATACACTGCAAAAGTTTTCACACGAGTGACCGAACAGTCTTGTGTGGAGTTAGACCGAAACCAGAACGAGTAAGAGGCAGAAAGAGGGCCGACTGACGGCAGTAGGAGGGGACCCCAACCCTGGTATGCAAACATTTAAAAAGGTGCCACTCTGGAGCACACTCTGGGGGG